CTCATTGAGTCGCTCTGCTGTCTCTCCCAATACAATCACCTGGGGAAGTACAAAGCTCCAATAATTAGTCAAGAGTCACAACTGATCTTCAGCAAAAAAAGTCCTGAGCCCTGGGGGATGCTCAGTCCTCAAACAGACATCATTGTGGTACAAGAACATCTTACTACTTTATTAATTAAAAGGTCAGCTCTATTGGTACACATGATAACTCCCCAAAGCAGTCGACACTGAAACAAGTGTACATTTTAAAAAAAGAAGACTGTTGGGAAGTTTGCTTAAATGAATGCTGGTTAGTGGCAGCATCATTAGGGAACCCAGGGACCCTGATTTTTAATGTAAAGATCTTTCCAATATAGATATTTATGTGCTTCTTTTTGTCCTGCATGATAATGCATGCTGTGTGATGATTCTTATTATTCCCAAAGTTTATCTGGCAAGTTCCAGGGTTCATTTCTTGGTAGAAGTAAAACTAAGCTCATTCAATTACTTGTGCAAGAAACTGCATCATGCTCAGACATAGGTCTGGCTATCTTGGGTATGACCATTTCCTATTTATCTTAGGCTGCTGGCCTCCAACTAGCTTCTGTAAGTTCTGCTCACTTGGAACCCATTAAAGAGACATGTGAACAATAGGAAGTTAACATAATATGTGAATATGTTTTCAATATGTTTTTCCTCCATGTTAATGGTCCTAGGGCAGGTTCTTTTAGTGGCCTTGTTCTAGGTTACTAGAACAAACATGAAGTAATATAAAGAGAAATGTAGGAATAGAGACTGGGAAATAAAAGCACAGAAGAGAACATCATTGGTAAAAATAAGAAGAGGAAAATGTTAGAAAAGCTTAGCAGTTCATGTCTTACCTTTTCTCTGAGAGGTATGAGATCTCTTTCAAAGTTCTCATGCTGTCGCTGAAGGGCCTGAACACTGAACAGGTCTGAGCCAGGGTCAGCAGCACTGAGGGCCTGGCACTTCTTCTTAATCTGCTCCTTCATGTCATCTGCTTCTCTGGTACATGAGAGTAAAAAGTTTAGGAATAATAATGTGTACCAAAGACAGACTCATAAGAAAGTCCTCACTATCACCACCACTATCATTATCATTATTGCCATCATCCTTTTTAATATGCTAGAACTTATGCTCATTTAATTTTCCCAGCAGCTACTTGAGGCATAGCTACTATTATCATTGCCATTTTACATATAAGAAAACTGAAACTTAAAGTTGCTAAGTATATTTTTCTTAAGGCTATACTACTGCTAAATGGAAGAGCCTAAGTCTGAACCAGGAAGCCTGACTGCAGAGCTACATGCTTAACTATTATATTTCATGACATTCCATCTAAAGCCATTCTAAACAACCAGAACCACCTGCATTTCAGTTTTCCCTTCTCCAGATGTTTAAAAATACATTTATACACAATAAAGGTGTTTGATTTTCTATGTTTGTTCATTTATTTGGTTGTTCAGTTAGTTACATGTGTGAGTAGACAGATTTGGAAATCAGACATAACAAATTGTTGAATTAATAGTTAAAGTAACTGTGATATCTGTGATTCTCTTCTATCTACTTATAGTTCCAAAATATAGTTACTTAAACCTCTTGTCTCTACTTTGTTTTGTTTACTGTCATATATATAGCTAATTGTGTGCCAGGGCCCAACCTAGTCACTTGAAAATTGAAATTTGTTGTTTGGGAGAATTCTATGCTACAAATGAAGAGTCTACTACTAAAAAATCTTACCGCCTATTATCCTTATCTCAGGAAGAAGGGTTATGGTAATAGCTATGGTTCTATTATAGTAACTAGACTTGGAATTTTTTAAGTGTGTTCTAGAACAGCAGTACTTTTTAAGGTTAAAATTCTCACCTGTGAAACATTTGGACAGCATGGGCACTGCCCAGCAGCTGACGCTGTTCTTCTGCAAGCCTCTGCAAGGAGCTCCAGCGAGCATTCAGCTCCTAAAAGAGGCAGACATACTAGACTTTAACTAGGGAGCTGACTTAGATTACTCAGTGGTATCTGAAGACTAGATAGAGTTTAAGTCATGATTGTTTTTATGTTATCTTCCTTAGAAATTGCATAGGTTTCTTTCTTTCTTAGGTAGCTTGAGTTTTGGCCTCATTGATGCCAGTGCAATTAAGAAGGGAATCACTTTTCTTCCCAAACTGTTGTTTCCAGGTGGAACTATCGACCCTAGAGTAGCAATTGATGTTTGTTGCCACAGTGACTATATTACAACTTCTGAAAAATAAGTGGAAAATATTGAATTGGTAGTTTGAAGCTACTATATTTCTCTAGGAGAAATATAATATCTGCATCCTGAATTGACAAAACAAAGTAGACTCTTGGAGTTCTTTTTTCTATAGAGGGTAAGTAAATTGTTCTTATGAACAATCTTTTTTTTTTTTTTTCATTTTAACTTCTTATACACCACCACAAAAAGCAGCAGAGAACTCATCTTCACTGGTTTATGATAACCCAGAGAGCTGGATTAGCCATTCCATTAATATCAATTAAGATATTTTATGGAACCAAAGGTCCGAATCTGAATCAGGTCTCTACTACTTATATTATTTTCTTTATTTCATCAGACTTTATCAGGGCTTATCTCTTCCAGTAAGTTTCTTTGATTTACCTCTACTATTACAGCTCTTTTATCTGCATTTTCTTTGTATTCGTGTATTTGAGCATTGAGTTTCTTGTGTCTGTATTGATTGGGGATAGGTGAGTTGCAACTTAAAGATTTCAGATCAGAATAAATGGCTAGACTATTTGAACTATTATCTTTTATCTTTTCTATAGTCAACTCTATACTTTCATTACTTTATGCATGTCCTAGCTGATCTGTGGAATATAAAGTTGAGTATATTTAAGTGAAATAATGACTCCTAAAATTCAACCTGGTAGTGAAGAAAAATAAAAAGAATCTTAGTTACCTGCTGTATCTGAGCTCCTTCTGGTGTTAAAAGCTCTTCAAATAGAAGATCATCAGCCACCTTGTTGATGTCCCTCAGTCGAGGTTCATTGGTTTTCAAATCCTAGGTGAGAAAATTTTCCCAAAGCTGCGTAAATCTCCTTTTTGAGAATCTTTCATACTTGCCTGCTCATCTTTGCCTTAACTTGGCTAAGTATTAAAAGATATTTCTAACCTTCTCTTCAATGTACAATGAGCTGCCTTCCTCCAATCTGTCACTAAGAATATCTTTAATATTCCCTGACACCCGTGACTGTCAAAACTTGGCTAGTGTGTATCTGAAGCATGGAGTACAATCATTTGCCTAGATTACACACACACACACACACACACACACACACACACACACACACACACCTGTTATTACCTTTTGTCAGTTTTTCTTTGTTATTTATTTCCTTAAATTTAAGTTACTTACATACTGGCATATTAGCCCTTTATCTGTAATATGTCTTGCAAATATTTCCTCCCAATGTGTTGATTGTCTCATGACTTTGTTTATGGTGATATTTGTCATGCAAAAATCACAGTTTTATTTTGTTTTAATTAGATTTATCAATCTTTTCTTTTAGTGCATTTAGTGAACCTGAATTTTAATTCATAGTTAGAAAGTCTTTC